CAGATGTGTTCAGTTTTTTTGAAGAAGCCCCAGATGAGGATAGATCAGAATTGTTTTATAGTCCTCTTTATATTAGTTCTTCCCTTTCCATTTTAAGCGTGGTTATGATAAAGGTGTAATATATATACAGTAGTGCCTTAAAGTATTCAGCCACCAACACATTTTTCACCATTTGTTGCTACAGATTCTGAATTTGAAATATTATTAAAGTAGGATTTTTAGGCACTAATCCACAAAGTATTGAGTACCAGGTCAAAACAAATGTTCCAAAACCTTTCCACAATTTACTTAAAATTAAAAACAATTTATACAATTAAAAAAATGTTCATACCTCTTGTTATTGTAAGCTCAAATTTATACAGGTGCATTACATGACCTCAAAAGTCACGCAATTTGGTGATTGACTTCACCCATGTAAGAAATTTGTGTATCAACTGTTGTTAATTCTTTTTTTAAATATACATACCCCTCTCTCGGTGAGGTCCAACAGCATGGTATAGACTTTCCAAAAAGAGACTCAAAATGAAGACGAAAGAACTTTCCAAACAAGTAAAAGATATGGTTATGAAGAGACACAAAGACACTAGGATACAAGATAACAGCCAAGCTGTTATTATTATTATTGCTTACACTTATATAGCGCTTTTTCTGGACACTCCACTCAAAGCACTTTACAGGTACTTTACAGTATTCCCCTCCACCACTGTGCAGCATCCACCTGGGTGATGTGACAGCAGCCATAGGGCACCAGAACGCTCACCACACATCAGCTATCAGTGGGGAGGAGAGCAGGGTAATTAAGCCAATTCATAGATGGGGATTATTAGGAGGCCATGATTGGTAAGGGCCAATGGGGGAATTTGGCCAGGACACCGTTACACTCCTACACAAGAGTAGGGTAACACTCCTACTCCTTTCGAGAAACACCCTGGGATTTTTAACGACCACAGAGAGTCAGGAAAACATTGGTTTTTACATCTCATCCGAAGGACGGCACCTGTTTACAGTATAGTATCCCCATCACTATACTGGGGCATTAGGACCCACATGGACTGCAGGGTGAGCGCCCCCTGCTGGCCACACTAACACCTCTTCCAGCAGCAACCTTAGTTTTTCCCAGGAGGTCTCCCATCCAGGTACTGACCAGGCTCACATCCACTTAGCTTCAGTGGGTTGCAAGTTGTGAGTTGTGAGTTGCAGGGTAATATGGCTGCTAGCCATATTAAACATCCCATGCAGTTTATTATATAGAATTGGAAGAAAGTGCCATCACGCTACCTAGATAAAAGTATTTCACTATGGCTAAATAAAAATATTGTAAAATTGAGAAAGATTGTTGAGGTTTTAGGTGAAGTAAACCCCTTTACCTGAAGATCTACCAGCTGTCTGCCAAGCTGAGCTAGTTTTTCCCAAGTTCCTTGAGCTCTGGTAAGCTGGAGTCACGAAAGGCCATATTACAGTAGCCTCCCCCACACCGGCTGCTGTTCTGACAGACCAGGGCTTCTCAAGAGTCCCTAAGCTTAATTTCTACTTGTGTCCCACTTATGGCATTTCTGATCTTGAAACAGTTGCCTAATTATACTTGATCAGTGCACGTTTTCTCCGTATGTAGTAACAGATTACGCAAGAAGTAGGTATCCTCAATAGCAGTACGTAAAATCCAGTTCCCTTAATCTGTCTAAATACAGTACGACATTTTCTTATGATCAGGAATTCATCTCGGTTTTTTTTTTTGTACTGTGATTATAGCTGTAATAGCTTTTTAGAAGGATAGGGACCAAAACTGAAAGCTAACACCTGTAGCTTGGAGTCACAAGTGTAAATAATACTTCAGTCCTGCTCCTGGAAAGCCAGGCCCTATTTAGTTTAATGTCAGATGAACTGTGAATGACATAATTTGATCACTCAATTAAGTGAAATCATTCAATTAGGAGAAATTAATATGCTTTCTGAATTTCTGTGCATTGTCCTGTTTAAACTATCAAAATTGCAGGACTGTGATTATTCAGGACCAGCTATGGGCACCCTCATCCTGTAACCCATACCTGCTTCTGTAGAGGGACTTAAATAAAATGATTATTTAACCGTAATTAAGAACAATACCTGTAGAGGGCGGTGGTAGCCTACATGTTCATTAGGAAAAGTTTTGGATTGATGCATGATCCACAACTGCTACGAATTGGAAATAAGAATTGAAGGTAACGCCAGGACCGGCCAGATCATAATTTGAGCGGATGCTACCATTATCAGCTCCCACCCCAAACTTATTTTTACTATTTAGAACAATTAAATACATGAATTATATAGTTAAAAAACTTTAATTATCCACCTTTGAGGAATACATAATAATTTACAAACAAGAATAAGTAGCACACATTTTAAAAAGATGACTTATGTTTCACATTAAAAGAAATATCTCGAAACGTGAATGTTTTAATTTTTAGTAGAACATCTCAAGTAGTCTACATGAGAAAATTTGACTTGTCTACCGTTCGCTAGTTACATGCATCTGACAGACTCAAAACTAAATGAAATACAGATGTACTGTATTATTACAGTGACTTTATTTGGAGTACGTTTCCAGATCGCTTATCCTGCACGATAAGGAACGTTCTTCTGGAGCACAATGTGCCTTTACCAGTTGCAACTACTGTACATGATTTTAATTTTAAATAATTACAGGATTAGTCTCAAATCAAATCAAAGTTTATTTATCAAATGCACAACAATACGGCGTGCAGCAGTAGTTGCTGGCAATGAAATGTCTTTTTCTGCGAGCTCACAAAAATTACAAGAATCACAAAAACACAAAAATGACAAAATTGAGGTTACATTTTTTAAATTGAATAAAACTCAATGTGAGTAGAGCTGTTATGTGCCCATGGTGTATTCAATATATACATGTAGTGCAGTTATGCTGAATATAGTGAGAATTGTGTGTCCATGTAGCCATTACAAGTGATTTGCTAAGGAGCTACAGGTTGGCTATTTAGCAGTCTTATTGCCTGGAGGTAGAAGCTGTTTCGTAGTCTGTTGGACTAGTCTGCATCGCAAGTAAAATACGACATATTTCATAATATGTAGGATGCAATGAAAGATTAATAATATGAATCAACACAACATGTACTACTTTCTGTAATTTACCACTTGTTGTAAGGACCCGATAGTGTCATTTTAAATTACAGCTAAGATGAGTCATTTAATACATCGACAATGAAATAAACGATTACACTTACATTCAAACTTAGCAATATTTATTACTAATTATACTAAAACATAGTCTAGATTAGAACAGCAGCAACAGAGCCACTGGAAGGGGATGCTTATCTCACATTTGAATGTGCAGACGAAAAAATATGTTGTGTTGCACATTGAGGGAGCCCCCTGGTGCCCTCGGAGCCCAGGTAGTCTCCGAGTTCGCCTAACAGGTCCTGGTTCACATTATACACGCATTTGATCCACCACATTTGAAAACAACCAACATAATGTTACTCAACAACAGCAATCGCAGCGGGTAAAACATTATATTTTATGGTTGCTGTTTCAACTTTTCTATTACAACGAACTTCACATTTACAATGATTGTGATGAACAAATGCGTTCAATTTTATTCTTGAAAGAACCTCAGGATTAGCGAAATTTCAAATAAAAATCGTAACTGCCTTGTACTAAAGACGGCATGTACAAGAAGTTTCTCTTCCTCGGTAAATGTATAAATTCAACAATGAATTTATACGACAATAAGGATTCACGAATGATCTACTTATTTATGTTTTCGGTTACAAGAATCCTGACACGGGTAAAAATCTGTATATAAAATATAAATAATAATTATGAAATATTGCGTAACACATCTGAGAAGTACATACACAGATTAGTCATTCTGCCAACTTGCTATACTAGATAAAGCTGATGGCTTTATTACGCGTGGTAAATAAGACACGTGATCGCAGGGACAAGCTCTTGTCAGTGGGGAGCTTGTGCTTAGTTGTGGATTGTTCCGTTTCACAGGACGAACTGGTGTCAGTGTTTCAATAGCAACATCATTTGCGATTGCTGCCAGTTTACAATATTTTCGGAGGGGATAATTGAGGAAACTCTGCCAGCACCAAACTGATTAAATGCAAACCTTAAATCCCTTCTTCTTTTTTTTTTTGAGAAAATGAGCTCTGGAACTTTGTTGCGCGTGTTGCATCACAAACTTTGACAAAGTTTACATGACTACAATGATGTATGGGATCTGTCCAGACTGCCTCTGCTCCGGGAAATGACTGCCTTTTCTGTAAGTAGTTTCTGTAAGAAAGTACATTTTTAAATTAAAATAATGAGGATCCACGCCCTATAAAATGGACACTTGGAGAATACATAGCGCTTGGACCGCGATTTCAGTGTTTCTAAAACTGTTTGCAATTGCTTGGCTGTGCAGACATTCCTCTGCCCAGGTGTACAATCTGAGCTTATCTGTTGAGGAAGGGCTTCCCGCAGGCACTATTGTTGGGGACATAAGAGCTGGACTACCAGAAAGAACACCAAATAGTGGATTTTTTATATCTGAGAGCAGAGAATCTTTTGTGTTTAAAGACCTGGACATTGACGGAGACACTGGTATAATATCTACAGCTGTAGTTCTGGATAGGGAGAGCAGGGCTAAGTATGAGTTTGTGGCAGCAGCATTAACTGGGGAAATTGTAAAGGTGAAGATTGTGGTCACTGATGTGAATGACCATTCTCCTGTCTTCCCAAGGAAAAATGTGCACTTAAATATTTCTGAACAGACACCTACTGGCACCAGATTCCAGCTGGAAACAGCTTTAGACCAGGATGAAGGAGAATTTGGAATCCATGGATACAGAATCATTGAAGGGGATTCTGCAAAACTGTTTAAGGTGGAGTACAGAAAGGGAGCAAGCAATTTATACAGCACAGACCTCATTCTTGTGGGACAAATGGACAGAGAAACCACTGACTTTTACTGTCTAAGCATAGAGGCATTTGATGGGGGCAGTCCACCAAAGACAGGGCTTTTGCAGGTGAACATCCATGTCTTAGATGAAAACGATAACCCTCCTGTGTTCAATCAGAGTAAATACCAAGCGCTTATCTGGGAAAATGCACCGACACTAACGTCGGTGTGCCAGGTTTCCGCAACGGACAGAGATCTTGGACGCAATGGGAAGGTCATCTATGAGATTAATCGACGACAGAGTGACCCAAATGAGCTTTTTATTATTGATAACAGCACTGGAGTAATCAGCCTGAATAAACCGTTGGACTATGAAACCCAGTCATTCCATGAGTTAATAATCAGAGCCCGAGATGATGGCGTTCAGCCAGAGTACAGCAGCACATTTGTCATAGTCAAGGTGCTGGACATTAATGACAATAGCCCTTTCATTAACATTATGTTCCTCAGTGAGTTGGGGGAGGCTGAGGTTTCTGAGGGGGCTGCTGTAGGAGAATATGTGGCTAGGATATCAGTGTCTGATCCTGACCTTGGAGAAAGTCAACTGCTTCATGTGTCTCTGGAAGGTGGAGATGGAAAATTCACTTTAAAGTCATCTGAGAACTTCCTCTACTTTCTTTGTATTGATGGAGCCTTGGACAGGGAGAAGGCAGATCTATATGAGCTGAAGATTGTTGCCTCTGACTTTGGCAAACCACCACTGTGGAGTGAGAAGATCTTTTTGATTAAAGTGACAGATATAAATGATAACCCTCCAGTTTTTGATGTCAGTCACTATACAGTAAACATTTCAGAAGATGCATTTTGGGGCTCTGGCCTTCTCCAGGTGCATGCTAAAGATTTGGATGAAGGAATAAATGCAGTTGTCCGTTATTCAGTCTTAAATCTTCACCCCACTTACCTAGTCAACATAGACTCCAGTTCTGGACTGATCACTACGGCATCACTTCTAGACCATGAGAAAAACGCCACTATTAACTTTTTAGTCATGGCCATTGATGGGGGAACCCCATCTTTATCTTCAACAGTTGCTGTCACTGTCCAAATAGAAGACATCAATGACAATGTGCCCATGTTTGAGTCCCAGCTTTATAATGTGTCTGTCCCAGAACACTCACCAGTTGGGAGCTGCTTTCTTCAGGTAAGCGAATATGGCAGAGAGGGATGAAAGTTGGAGTGAGATTAGGAAGATGCAGTAAGAAATGGGATG